TTCCTCCGGAAACCGGTGCAATCCCAAGGGAAGAGAATGACACCCGTCCGTTGCTCTTCCTCGCCGATGATTTCCGGAGACGAGTAGATTCCTCAGGTCATGTCCGTTATATATTTCAGCTGCAATGCAGGCCAGTTCCATCGGACGGAGAAGAACGTGAATGGGCTCTCGACTGCACCAGGCCATGGGATGAGACGGAGTACCCGTACATGGACATCGGCGAGATCACAATCGATCAGAATCTCACCATGGAAGAATCCGAGAGACTGGAATTCAACCCGTTTCTCCGCTGCAACGAGGTCGATATTATCCGAGCAACCTCGGCCTCCCAAAGTGCATCTATTGATCATGGCCGCTCATTGGTGTACGAGATATGTCAACATCTACGTAACGGCACGCCGCTCCCAATGGCCTGGCGGAGCTTCCTTGAGCAGTCTGGTGCAAAGGTGGACCTTTCTGGTTGTCCAATGGCAGCAACCGCGGCGATGCTGACAAAGGAATTTGGTGACCGCAGAGTGACACTGGCGAGGACTAGGTGTCAAACACTCTGGGCTACCTGTTGTCAGCCACTGCTGCAGACATTGCTGCCTTATTTCGTTCTTGGAATGGTGATCTTCCTGCTGCTCCGTTGGATGCTCATCGTCAAGTCCACTCTGGAGCTACCACTGCATTGGTTGCTGCCGCCATTCTGGGTTGCGTCGGGGATCATGGCCGGACTGATATGTGCCGGAGCCAAGTGGGTGCTGGTGGGGAGGAAGAAGGAAGGAGAAGCGGTGCTGATATGGAGCCGGGTGGTATTCATGGACACGGTGTGGCAGGCGCTAAGGACTGTGGTCGGTGACTACTTCGTGGAGATGATTACCGGATCCGTGTTGTTCGGGGTGTGGATGCAGCTCATGGGGTCGAGCATCGAGGTGGACGACGGGGTCTACGTGGACAGCATGGGGGCAGTGCTGAACCCAGAGATGGTGGAGATCCGGAGTGGTGGGGCTGTGGGGAGGGATGCACTGCTCTTTGGGCATAGCTACGAAGGGGAAGAAGGGAGAGTGAAGTACGGGAAGATTAAGGTTGGGGAGGGCGGGTTTGTAGGAAGCAGGGCTGTGGTCATGCCTGGGGCGAGGGTGGAGAGTGGGGGTTGTCTTGGTGCCCTTTCCTTGGCCATGAAAGGAGAGGTTGTGAAGTCCAGGTGAATGTTGTGCCTCAACAAATAAGTGTTAGGCTTGATGTTAGTCACATCAGGTTGATGTAAGAAATAAGATCCGAATGTTGTGCCTCAACAAATCATATATATCATTTATAGGTTTTTTTTCTCTTATAATTGGATTTCCGATAATTAAAAAAAATATATGATAAAGACGAGATTCGAATAGAGGATTTTATAATAAATTATCAAGTTATTTATCATTTAAATTATTTGACATCTTTTGTTGAGGGGATATGATTATTTTAGTTCGATTAAAAATATTGAATTTTGATTGGTTTAATCTAAAGATTTTATTTTTACAAGTAAAAGATTTCGTTTGGGTTTTTATTGTTCCGTTATATACAAATGGAAAGTTTTGTTTTTGCTACCAAACTTGTGATTTTTGTTGCTGATCCAATAGAATTTTTGAAAAGTCTTTAATCTTGGTAGGAACTGTATGAGAATTTGATGATGAATGAGACGGATGTGGTTTTTGAAATTGGTTGTACTTCTTTTTAGAGGATGACCGTAACCAACGAATGAATTAAAATTCTTGATAAATTAAACTAAAAATAAAATTAATCAGAATTTTATTTCAATTAAGTTATTTAATCTTTTTGGGATAGGTTTAGATGGGAAGTTAATTTCTGAAGAGGACTTGATTTCTAATTTAAGAAGCTAAGACAGGAATTAGTTTAGATAAATTATTTTGTGTAAGTTGTCCAACTCTCCCTATTTAATATTGTTTATTTTAATTGTAATGCTTAGACATGATCTAATAATGTTTATATTTATTTTTGCATTTTATAAAATATTAGATGAATTATTCATAGTCTTTTACATTTAGAAACATGATATCTAAGCATGGTTTAATCATCAAAATTTGAAACCAAATTTGAGTTTTTTACGATTAAAATAACATGTTTTTTATTTTATACAGTAAGTTTGAGTCTCTAGCATCGAGGTGGGCTCTCAAAGGTTATATTCTATCTCGATGGTGAGGTAGGAATGAGGCCCTATGGTTATTCTAATTTGACTAAAAAAATTTAAATTATGAGTGGTTTACTCCCGATTTAGTAAAAAAAGATTTATGTGCAAGAATGAGTAAAGGGTTTTATTTTTGCTGAGTCAAGATTTGATTGTTTGAATTGAATGCTAATTTAAAACCAATCAAGATACCTCTTCCATATTATTTTTCGATCAATTTTAATCCATATCAAAACTTCAATAGTAACGAGACCGATACATCTCCGATGTTTAAATTAGTTTTAGAGTCAAATGATTTAGTTTATACTTTTAACTATATTGGAGATATGCATAAGAAATTTTTTTTTATATTAAGCTTTTAGTATCATTCTCTTATAATATTATGAGGGTTGTGATCTTTCTTAAACTTAATCATGATTGTGATATGCATCAAATCCTTAATTCAACATTAATGATCGCTGATCGTAGCAATGCCATCTCATGCAACACCAATGACCACGATAGCCATCATTGTATCACCACGATCAACCAATTGTCGATAGTAGGTCGTCGTCCATAATTAAATAATTTTTTTTTTATCTTCATTATCTGGATTCGACTGTAGCCCTATATGCATATGCAAGGAAAAATACTTCACATGGCGGAAGCGCCACATGCCCAAGGATTAATAAAAAATTATAATAATAATTTGATGCCATTACAATAGATTAAATTTTTTTTATGATCTAAATTATCATACATCATTCAAATATGTATGGTGTACCACCTTCAAATCAAGATTCAGATCTAAATTATCATATATCAAGAATAAAACGTGTACCACCTTACTAAACATTTCAAATACGGTGAAATTGTAGTTTTGGACATAAAGAGTGGACCTCCTCTCTTTATATTTTCTATAGTGCCATTATAATTTTTAATGAAATTTGAGACTCATCTACGATCAGATATTAAAAATGTCCTATCATTATATAGAGAAAGATAATTTGAGAGAACACTCACGTTAACGTAATCGTCCAGGATTAGGAATCCTTTTCTATTGACAAATAATCTTAATCAGAATCCTTGTAATATATGTTATCCTAAGCTAGTCCACAGATCACTGTTATTTTGGTTGATATAGAACTACTATACAACTATTAACGCAAATTATTGACCCATTAGGAAATTCACGATCTTTATTGACCTTGCACAACCTAAAATAATAATTTAAGCTATAAGGAATATCGGATATATATATATATATATATATATACAAAAAAGATTTGAATTGCAGATGGGCCGGCTGGGCCATGTGAGACAAACTATCTTGAACCAGAACAAATGGTGTTGGATGAGGGACAGGGAGCGGTCCGTAGTCCCCCACTAACCTGCTGGAGTCCTTTGTGATCATCATTATTTTAGTGATTGATCTTCGAGTGATCATCATCATTTTTCTTTCTCATGAATAAACAAACATCCGTCGTTGTGTTAGGTCTGACCCCGGAGAGGGTACCTCGGCGAGGGCGGCCACCCAGTGCCGTCAGCCAATCGTGTCACCGACGTAAGCCGTCGCGTGCATGCCTGACGTAAGTGCCGCTACCCTATCTACTGCTGCCGCGTGTAATCCGCATGCAGCCAAGCTCGAGAGAGTTGTTCTTCCGTAGCATCAAAGTTGTGTATCCAAAGTCCACAAAAACTATTCTGTCTCGAGGAACATGGCAGAAGATTTGCATTCGATGTACCAAATCCAGTCCTCTTCTCGGACGTGGACAAAACAATGGTCTGTAGGCCAAGCAGAAACCGAGAGGACGCTTCCAATTTCCTATCTTCTTCCTTTTATAATAATCAATATAGTGGAGGAGCTCCTCTGATGTCGACAATTACAAGGAATAAATAAACGGATTTGAAAATGGGGATGTTGATGTCGGACTTGTTCTTCCAATATATTTAGTCGATGATCTCCATTCGTACTTGCTGCTACTCCCCTCGTGTCGTTAGTAGCCTCTTAACTAAATACATCATTCGTACCATTAAGCTTATATCGATCGTCATCTCGTCTTGGCTAACAAGGAGGAACATGCATGCTGCTGACGGCCCTCCGCAGCAGCGTATAGACACCGGTATGTACAACACAGACGACGACCCTCTCTCCTTCGCCGCTCTGGTTGTCAAGTTTGATGTTGATCGAGTAGGAACAATACGATTAGTGTCGTTTGTCATGTACTATATATTTATTGTCTGCGGCAGTTGCAGAGAGGCCAAGTCCGTGTCACGGGAGTTGTTGGAATGCAAGGAGAGGCTTAAAGGTTCAAACTGACATACATACGGCGCCCATTGTCTGCTACCTTCTCCTTAGTGGGCCACGTATTTGGGTGCGCCGAGTACGAGCGGCCGGTAAGATCTGGGCCGTCCTTTCTTTCTGGTCCCACTCCCGGGCTGCCATCGGATCCGAGCGGGGACCATCTTTGTCGGCGGGGCGTGGCCTTGTCACAGCGACACGTGGACATCTGAGGACGGTCATGCTCGCGTGGTCCGTGCGTCAGCTCGTCGACCAGATCCTTTGAATTAAATAATGTATATATTGCCTGAAAAATTCAATTGCATCTGCTGCTGGTAACAAGGGAGAGAAATTAAACGGAAATTTCATGCGTCGAGCGAAGATTTCCTAATACGATCACTATTTTGATGACAATTTGGTCCACATATAAGAGCGTCAACCCGCCATTGGGATCAGGTCACCTGTGGCCGTGGCGCTCACGTTGGTCCGTCGGGAGTAACTTTCAATTAGTCCACGGCGTTCCTTGTCTGCGTGGTATTGTCCGTTTGGGCGGTCACTTTACCAACCTCCCTCCCGTCTTATCTGTCTCGAAGCAACCTGACTCACGCCTCTCGAGTCTTCATGTTTTCGGTAAAACTGCCACTATCGCTGGGAGTAGCAGATTAATTTTACGAACCCCGGGGAGGGGAAGAGTGAGAGAGAAGAAGAGGGGGAGAAGAATCGGTTTTCTCATACCATTTTGGAGGCGCAGAGAGATGGCCAATGAGTAGAGAACGAGCCATTAATGGAGAGAGGATCAAGATCCGGAAAAGGGAGGCTCTTGCGAGGAGGATCTTGATGGCAAACGAGGGGAGTTTCAGCAAGGAGCAGCCGCAGCAGATCTCCTTCGCCATGATTCATCCTTCTTCTTCATCTTCCTCCATGCATGGAAGCCTCATGTAGTAACCATCTTGTCGGAGCTGAAGACTTGCCATGTCCCAAAAAATTCCTTTTCTTTTCTTTTCTTTCTTTCACGTGCTTTTTTTTTTGTTTTTTGTTTTGGCCCTTCTTTTCATAAGTGATCGATCAGTAGGAATTAATTTGGAGTAAACGGAGAGAATTTCTGGTTCTCGGTAGGTGAAACTTCATACATCCTTTAGAATCCTAGTATTCCATGTGAATAAACTGAAAGAACACTAAGCTCGTTCTACAGGAACCTGGTTTTCTAGGGAAGTTTCAATATAACGTGGTGTACAATTAGTTTGAGGTGCCTTGATTTTGGTAGGAAATGAAAGGTTGGTGGTTGTCTTGTTATCGATGTATACTTTAAAACGCAAAGTAGAATTGTCATAGAGCAAATTAAGTGGAACACGCTTAAGCACACAAGCACTAAAATTTCAGATGAGCTGAAGAATCTAGGTTGCCTGGTCATCATGTCATAAGAAATACGAGTATATTGAGTAAAACTCAATGAAGGAGAGTGGGCTTCTTTTTCTTGGTCCTTAATTAGCTTCAAGTTTCATTTCAGTAGCAGCACCGAACGAAATTGGTCATCCTTTGCTTATTCGAAATCTTGTACTGATATGATGTAGGAGGAACAAGGAGGCTGGAGCTTATGACTTGGGAGAGCTGGACCAAGCTCTATTCTTCTCTTTAGATGAGCAGGATCATTCGATATCAGGTCAAGAACAACGACGTGAGTCCCTTTCGATTACACTTGGCTTCTTTTAATTCTATCTCATACTGGCTTCTCGATCTCCTCTGTGTCAAATGCCGATCCGTTGCCAGAAAGGCTATCACACGAAAAGAACTGGTAGGGTAGGATGAAGAGGGAGGGAATCAGATAGCTGTTTAGATTCCTTTCGGAAGAGTTTTTTGTTTTGGTTCTCTGGGGAGGGGGGAGGGGGGGGGGGGGGGAGGGCGGGGTCATGAGAACACCATGTCTGACAGATCTTGTCGTACTGTGTAATTGACCGGATTTTTGCTGATAAGACTGGAAATCTGACATCTAAGAATAATTTCAATTTTCTGATTTTTTTGAAGGTTTTTTTTTTCCTCTCCTCTTGATGGAGACGGTGACATGTATCAAACAAGTCATGATTGCCCTGGAAATTCTTGTCCCAAAAGGTGTAGAAATCGATTTCTTTTTCCATATGCTTTCTATCATTTGCCCTCGTCTCTTTCCAACTCCAATTTTTCTCTCATCTCTCCGTCGCACTTACACAATCCCCCACGAGTTTCTTTGAAGAAGTGTCATTTCTCTGTCGTGGTTGTATCTTTGGAATCTAGAGGCTGTCACGTTTATTCTTAAAGAGGAACTACTCTCCATTTATGGTGTTGAGGTGCAACATGAGGGGATTTGATGCTTACAGCGGTTCATACGTGCAGAGACTCTGAACATTTTCCCTTCGCAGCCCATGCATGTACAGACTTCGACAAAGGTACGCGAAATTAGGACTCATCTTTAATTTCTTGCTGCTCACGCTTTTCTGATACATTTATTTAAGCGTCTTTGGAAGAAGTTGTATGGGCGGTAGCTCATATGATGTTTAATACGCATAGGGTGGAAAAAGCTTGGCTTCTCCAGCAACCAGTGGTTCCAAGAAGTCGTCAGATCAGACCATGGAACTAGGAAACAGTCCCAATGATCTCCCAGAGTTGCCTGAGAAGTCGTCGAAGGACACCAAAGTAGTAGTCAAGGTGAGAGGCAACAACTTCATTAGTATGGTCATGTTCATATTATTTTCTTCATTCGCTTCTGTGGCAACAGAAGGATGGGAGCCGAAAGAGCACATGTGTTGCAGAAAGTGAAGGGCCCAAGACAACAGATCCTAAAGCGAGTTCATCTAAAGCTTCCCATATATATCCTTCCCCTTTATCCTTTACAAATAAAAGTTCTCTCCAACTGTGTGTTTTGTTTTCTTTGTGAGCAGACGTTGAGAAGGCTTGCTCAGAATAGGGAGGCAGCCAGGAAAAGCAGGCTCAGGAAGAAGGTGATCAGTCAATTAACAACAACAATATTTCACCCAAAACCTGTTATGTGTGTCGATGTATTCCTCTCTCTTTTCGTGCTACAGGCTTATATTCAACAGCTGGAGAGCAGTAGGAACAAACTTAGTCAGCTTGAACAAGAGATTCAAAGGGCAAGAGGACAAGTAACAATTAGTGTTACAGTCATGCACACTTCTTTCTACATATATATATTTGCGCCAGTGAACCATTTCAACTCCTCTTTCGATCTCTTACTAAAACTGACGCTCTTCTTTTAGGGTCTGTTATATGGTGGCGGAGCTCTCCTCGAGGATCAAGGCCTCCCCACATTTGCCGGTGGGCTAAGTTCAGGTATCATCCTACGTACGCTAAACTGACATGAGGGTGAATTGTTTCCCTAACCCATATAATTTGCTTTCAGATGCAGCCGTGTTCGATATGGAGTACACGAGGTGGCTGGAGGAGCACCACAGGCTTATGTGCGAGCTGCGCGCGGCGGTGGAAGAGCAGCAGCCGGAGAACAAGTTGCAGATGTTTGTGGACAGCTGCCTCGCGCATTACGATCATATGGCGTATCTCAAGAGCATCGTCACGAAGTCGGACGTCTTCCACCTCATCTCCGGCGTGTGGATGACACCCGCGGAGCGCTGCTTCATGTGGATGGGCGGCTTCCGTCCCTCCGAGCTCATCAAGGTCCTTCACACATCTCTTGCATGCATGCATGGGTACATAAAACCAGCACTCAAAAGCGCGCATCCTCTTATTTTGGGACTGGCCAAGATCCAGCAAACCCTTGACCTCTCAATAATGTGCCCTTTGCCATTCTAAACCTAACATAGAACACATGCTAGTATAATAAGGGTTTGAATAAACGATGCTGGTTGTTTAATGAGCTGAAAAGGACCACTAACATAGGATACTAAGACGGACATCACCCCAGTGCATAAAATTATCATTTGAATAATCATATGGTCTTGCCGACGTCTACTCCATTGCCATTTGTTTAATGGCGAACAACTGCACTTGGGAAATAGTTACAGCCATTAATGGGCGACGAGGTTTATTAGTTTACATCTTAAATGTTATAGGATGATGGAGTTGGTGCTTAGTTTCATCAAGGAATGGGCTCAGAGGACGTGTGCTGATGGAAGGATCAAGTGCAGTGCCACAATGTTGGAGAACAATTCGAGGGGTGGTGGGCACTCAGTGGCAAAAATGTCTGGAAGAAGGCTTTTTTCCGTTCATATACCTTACATAGTTACGTTGAATCAGACCATAAATAAAAGTCACACGACTGCTGAACCGTGAAAGCAATACATTATCTTCGTATTTCCATGAATGATGATATCATTCAAATACGGTGCTTCCTGGAACTTGGCATACGTAGAAGGGTTCAAATAGCTTCTTGTGTAGAGAGAGCATCATGTTGTTACTGCATGCTACAAGAGAGCTGTAGCTGTGTTAAGATCTTAACCGTTCCTGACGGTATATTATGCTTGCTCAGATGCTTTCGAGACACATCGAACCATTGACGGAGCAGCAGATACTAGGGGTGTGCGGACTGCAGCAGTCGACGCAGGAGACGGAGGAAGCTCTCAGCCAAGGGCTGGAAGCCCTGAACCTATCTCTCTCCGACACCATCACCTCCGACGCACTGAGCTGCCTCTCTCACATGGACAACTACATGGGTCAGATGGCCGTCGCCGTGAACAAGCTTGCTACATTGGAGGGCTTCATCCGACAAGTAAGCTTCAGATCTGCATATACTAATGAAAACATAACGTCACCTTGCAATCACACTGGTAGCCACCCAAGACTATGATTGACATAATGTCATATACTTAGTTTGTTTTGCCTAAATTATGCGGCACCGATGTGTGTCCGTCCATAAAGGTCAGTCTTCCCGAAACCTCTTATGGTCCCTTAGGACCTACAAAAGAGAAAATGAGTTAGAGAAAACGTTTCACTCGGGATCCACAAGCAATCACTTCATCAAACACTTCATAGTCAATGCAAATTATAAACATACTTCACAAGCTTCAAACGGTCACATAACAAATGGTCCAAAATGATCTACTATAGACCGAAATCCTCACAAATGCCCATATGACACAATCTTTATTTGCAAGCCTAAGACGATCACCAAAATCAAAGAAAATGGGACTGCTAGGCCTACTATTAGCCTTTTACATATTGTGCAAAGCATAAATAAACCTGAAAGACATGGACATATATATGCATTACATCAAACACCTTGTTTACAGTTTTGTCCGTGACATTCTCCTCCACTTATTCCTTCGACATCCTCGTTGAAGCCTTTGCAGACACTGCATCTTCTCACCTTTGCTAAGTCTTTAATCTTCTACTCTAATTGCAATGCACTTTTTGGCTTCCAACTGCACTCCATCGCTGTTGTTGAGTAGTCGAATTTTGATCCGTCATGCTGTTTTAACTAGCTAATGACTCTGACTCTGGTGTGAAGTCAGTTGAGTTGTGATGATCCCTATTGTTTCCTGCGGATCTCTTGGATGAAGGAAAAGACCATCCTTATTATGTGCTAGTCTCTCAAATACCTCATGCGGCTTGAATTAGGTGGATACTTTGTCACAGACTTAGTTGGTTTTGCCAAGTCGTGTGGCACACACAAGCACCTTTGCGTGTCCATCCGCAAAGGTCAACCCCCCCGAAACCTCTCATGGTCTCTTAGGACCTAAAAAAGAGAAAACGGGTTAGAGAACGTGCCTCACTAGAGATCCACAAGCAAACATTTCAAAAAACACTTCATAGCTAATGCAAATTATAAACATACTTCATAAGCTCCAAACGGTCGCACAACAAAGGGTCCAAAATAGTCCACTACAGACCGAAATCCTCATAAATGCCCATATGACATAATCTTTATTTGCAAGCCTAAGACGACTACCATAACCAAAGAAAAATAGGTTGCTAAGCTTACTATCAGTCCTTTACATGCTGTGCAAAGCATGAACAAAACCGAAAGACATAGACATACATGAGCATTACATCAAACACCCCGTTTATAGTTTTGTCCATGGCATTCTCCCTCACTTATTCCTTCGACGTCCTCATTGAAGCCTTTACAGATGCTACATCTCCTTGCCTTTGCCGAGTCTTCAATTTTCTCTCCAATTGCAATGTGTCTCTTGGCTCTCAACTGCACTCCTCCATTGTTGTTGAGTAGTTGAACTTTGATCTGCCATGTTGCTTCAACTTGTCAATGACTTTGACTCTGGTGTGAGGCCGGTTGAGTTGTGATGATCCATATTGTTTTCTGCGGATCTCTCAAATGAAGAAAAAGATCATCCTTATTATATGCTAGTCTCTCAAATGTCTCATGCCGCTTGAACTAGGTGGATGCTTGTTGGAGCTTTAACGAACATCGCCTCGCAGACTTTAAAGTTTTTGGGTCCTTCCTCCGTAAAATTTGCATATTGATTCTTCTTTCAATTAGTCGTCACTTCTAAGTATGCTCGTATTATTTTTGCTTTCGATTAGTATTCTGTTAGGAAATGAAGTGGATAATCTACTCCCAGTAGTATTAATCACTATTGGTGAGGTTTTGACAACTATTGTCTTCCATTAGATTTCTTTGAATAGTCTTTGAACCTATGTAGAGCTCCTCTACTAGATAGATAAGAGAATTGGTGTACTCGGTTTCACCCATTCTCTTAAGAGTTGAGAAGACAAATGTTACTTGACTTCACCCACCTTCTTGAGGATTATACTCTGTGCATCGAGTTGTTACTAGCCTTCACCCACTCTTTTGCTCAAACTTCTAAAATGCAAGAAGTTTTTATCCCAACTTAGAGCCAGTATAATAGTTTTAGTCACCTTTAGGATTGTACCGTCTTCTCTATCATCTTTGCCACCTACTCCTCTGAGTCACAAAGGTATAGCACTGTATATTGTCTACTTCGATCCTTGGTTGAGCACTCTTGCATCGACCCGAAGTCCTCAACTTTTAGCTATTTTGATGAGAAGTTCGTTGATACTGGCCTTACGAAGCTCCCTGGCTTCTACCCTTCAACTTTATTTCGGTACTTAGAGTTTTCCTCTGTATTCTCCATCTCCTCGACCCCTTTCATGACTAAGCGCTCTTCCTCTATGAGAATAAGGGATCGATGACTTTTTGGAAGTCCCGTCTCTACGGTACCATAGCGCTGCCATGCCCATGGCTCTACTATCCGTCGTCTCGCATTTGCGTCCCTTTCTTCACGATCGGTAGATCTGCCTCTGTGGCACTGTAGTACTCCTCCGAGTCCACCTCCATTCTAATCAATGCTTAGTTTTGGGTAGCTAAGTCCCTCTAGACTCGTCATCGCTTCCTCGCCCTTTTCGACCCCCTACTTCAATACCTCTGTGTTCTCTAAGTAGTTCTCCTTGGTCGATAGAAAGATAGACTGCAACTCCCATGTATGGCCTCTGCCATCATATTATAGGATTTGCACTGATTCTATTTTTCTTATCTTCCTTGATAGCAAAGTTCTTTTACTCGGCTTTGTCCTTTGACTTATCGAGTTCCCTTAAGCAAATATAAGCTCTGGAGTAGTCCAACTCTCCAACCGCTCTAATCAAACCTTCGTATGATCAAGTCTCTTACCACCTCCCCCCCCCCCCCTCCCCCCTTATGGGACTTGCTAGTATTTGCATTCAAAATTCTCCCTCGGTGGTATACAACCCTCATATGCTGATGACCAAAGCTTTTATCCGATATAAAATTCAATACACGCACAAAAGACCCGCCTTTGCGATACTATGACATTCACTCCTTGAATCCATAGCTTTTCTTGCAATCATGTTATTCACCGAAGTGGAGCTCCTAATAGCTCTTGATCATACCTCTGTATGATCTAGTCCCTCACGGGACTAGTTTCATATGTATCACATTGCCACGAACTGTTCCACCATGATTCGTTGTACCATGTTGCCTCCTGGTGACATCTACATTACATTCTGATCATTGTGGGATGAACTTGGATTATGATTCCTCCACGTGTGGCCTCTGTCATCACATCGCAGAGTCTCTTCCACCTTTGATTATGTTTGCTCCACCGATAATTGACCTTCGTCCACCCGCTCTCAGGTCACACCTAAACAAAGCACAGCTCTAAGACAGTCCATCGCATAGTAGTTTTCGAAGTCTATCGGCTTTGTTGAAATTGGTATACTATTGTCTTGATCATATGCCTCTATTCTCACCAGCACAATCTCCACTATGCACCACTGTCTTCATAGCAACTTGAATGACAATATTATGGTGTATTCTTCAAGAGTACCCGCCTTCATATCCTCTTGCCTAGTGTCAAGGCCTTTTAAACCTAACTTCACCTCCGCAAGTTGAGTCGCCTTGATTCATTCATCAAATGCTTTTCCAAGATAAGATGCATGTGTCTCGAAGCTTCATTCATCTTTGGAACCATACAAGATGAGTTTGCTCCATTAGAATGAAGGACCTATGGAATGACATGATCCCGCTTTTGCCTCTACAAGAGTTCATGTCCTTGACCTCTATCTAAGGAAAGCTTCGTGCCTTTGCTCCATGTTCTATCTTTTATGCCAACTCCCTTCATACGGCTTGGCCCTTCACCAAGTTATACCCAAGTTATTCTGCTCCTCGATTTGCATTGAGTTGATGGTGGCTCTTGCGCTTACTATTCCATGGGTCAACCTTCCGTTGAGTCTGATCTCTATATTGGCTTCAAGTGTGGCTTCATCTTGTGTTGCCTTGGGTTGCTCCCCCACTTAATCTCATAATGCATCCACCAATGCATTACCTTATATGAGATCATACGATGTCTCCTTGCCACTTGCTCAGTCCGTTGAGCTTTGTAGGTTTATTGTCTTGAGGTACTCCTCAACAGGTATGGTCTGTTGCATATGATTCTCCTTCTAGAGAACTCGAGACTTATCCATCCAAGGTATTTGTCCCGTTAGAGCAACTTCTCTCTTCGTATCCTTCCCTCTAGAAGTTTTGGATACCACCATCCCCTTGGACTACTCCGCCTCGCTGAACAAACTGTGCATTGTTCTGCCCCTGCAAATACACTTGCTAGATTGAGACTCCTTGCCAATACAGTTCCTACTGCACTCCTCAAGTCCTAGCAATTTGCTAAACTCGCTGCACACTTCAGCCTCCTATAGATGTATCGTTCTCATGCCAAATAGAAAATTTTAATGCTCCACGGTGTTGAGTTCCAGTCGCCTTGGGATGGCTACAAACATTCCCCTCACCTCTGTGAGCTTTGCACAACTTTTTTTATCACTGAGCAACCCATTTCACTTTGAACGAACTCATCCTTTACTAAGTGTCTTGCTTGCCTTGAGCATCATCAAATATGGTTGCTAACGTTGAGCCATAGCTCGAACTCAACCATCTCAACTTTTGTGCGCTACGCATTCTTCCCAACTTACTTGTTCTCGTGGTGCCTCTTGTGCAAAGGGTTGACCATTCCTCTGAATGTCAATCTTAAATGACCGCTCTTTAAGTAACTCTTTTTTCTTACATCTCCATGCCCATTTCCCCTAAACTGTCACAAATGTTGGCTGCCCTTAACGTAGCCCTGCTAGGTCCCTCATATTTGCATGCCAAGTATTTCTATGTATGCTTATCTTGCTCTGATACCATATGTAATGCACTTAGCTGGTTTTACTTAAGTTGTGCAGCACCGATGCGTGTCTGTCCGCAAAGGTCAGCCTCCCCAAAATCTTCTATGGTCCCTTAGAACTTATAAAAGAGAAAACGGGTTTAAAAAAGTATTTTATTCGAGATCCACAAGCAATCATTTCAGCAAATATTTTATAGCTAATGCAAATTACAAACAGACTTCACAAGCTCCGAATGATCGCACAACAAAGGGTCCAAAATAATCCACTATAGATCAAAATCTCCACAAGTACCCACATGACACAATATTTGTTTGCAAGTCTAAGATGACCATCAAAATCAAAGAAAATTGGGCTATTAAGCCTACTATCAACTCTTTATATGCTATGTAAAGCATGAATAAAATCGAAAAATATGGGTATATATGAGCATTATATCAAACACCCCGTTTACTTGGTAGATCTACTTTTACGAGCACTAGCATCCTGACCAAAATGTGGGGAAAATGTGGGGTAATGTTGTCAGTGTCAACGTACGTGGGACGACGACTTTCAGGGTGAATTAGGTTGATCATGCCACTGTCATGGCTAGTCCTAAGGTACTTGTTATCATGGTTTGATGGTAAAACGATAGAGCTTTGTTCTGCAATCTACATCGACATTCTTATATCATAGAAAATAATGTTATGAGCAAAATATATGGAGAACAAGTGGTTTGCTGTGATAAGCATATAACACTGCGAATCAATGGTTTCAGGCAGATAACCTGAGGCAGCATACGCTTCACCGGCTCTACCAGATCTTGACGACCCGGCAGATGGCGCGATGCTTGTTAGCCATTGCGGAATACTTCCACCGCCTCCGTGCACTGAGCTCTCTGTGGCTCGCCCGGCCGAGACATGAGTGAGCGGAAGAACCCTGCAGGCGCTGCATGCAAGTGGAGGTCAGACACCAGAAGAGGGTCAAACTTATTTGTATACGACCGTCATCTCTTGGCAATAAAAGAGTTGTAGCAAGAAGAAGAGAGTCTGATCTAAAGATGTATAGATGGATAATTGCGACGTAAACACACTGTTTGGGGAAACATGGTTTAGGTACCACATCCTCTTCTCTTCTCACGCTTTACCTGTTATAATTATATGGAAAGTAAGGATTTTGGCCATCTTTTGTGACTTTTGTAAAGGAGAAGTGAGGTAGGAAACAGAAGAAGAGATAAAAGGTGGAGGACGAAGTTGAAGAACAACAAGGTGGAGGAGGGTGATAAAAGAAAAAGAGCTATCTTAGTATGTGTGTGGCTCCAAATCGCTGCATGTCTTTGAAAAATCTGCCGACGGTGACAGAGACATTGGCGGGTGATAGTCAATTTGTTTTTTATCCCCTCTTTCTTAGCCGGAGCTAAATTCTCATAAGCAAGAAGAAAAAAGAAAAAGAAGATCCTTTCGTTTATATAACTCGAGCTGGAGTTGAGAACAATTTGTTGATGAGCGAGTATATCGTGGTCGATGCGTCAGCACGGCTTGGTCCACGGGTCGATGTCGAGAGTTCACGATTGGTTGGACGAGACGCCGAGACTGATTACGTCCGCAAGTCGGGATATCGACGCCGTCTGAGAGGAAACGCCTCTTGGTCGGGACACGAGCGTCGTCGTCGGGAAGAACATTTCTCGATCGGGGTAGTCACACTTTCAGGTGTGGCAACGCTCCTGCACAGAAGGCCCTCGTCGGGAAGTTCCCGACTTTGGCCCCTCGACGATTAAATTAGTGATTGGCTTCCTCCTTTCTTTTTTTTTTTCTCTCCCTGGCCGGATGTCGGTCAAGGACTTTTATACTATTATGCGAGGATCAGCTATACACGGGTTTGGCGTGACGACCATTGCCCGAGTGGCGAGATGGTACCTTCGTGCGACCGCCATCATGGAATGCACAGAATGGTGCCATACGGCGCCATCCTAAGCTTTCCGGGATGAGATGTACCGAGAGGTGCCTCGATACGGATCTTGTCTTGGTGCATAAGTATACT